AAATCTCATCTCGAGTGAGATCCATCGTAACTTCGTCGTGTCTTAGGTGAAGCCAAAGATCGATCGCGTCAAGGAATTAGAAGCTGAATCAGAGCGAGCGCGAAAGGCGTTGGAACGAGAGGAGCGGGAATTACGAAGGCTGGAAAAGACCATTGCCGAGTTGAACGCGAAATACGAGAATGCCATGGCAGAGAGGCAGAAACTGCAAGAGGAGATGGACTTGCTTCAGAGGCGTTTGATAGCTGCCGACAAGTTAATCAGCGGCCTGTCTTCTGAAAACGAACGATGGAGGAAGGAGTTGCAGACGCTTCACGGACAGATGGAGAAAATTATTGGAAACTGTCTGCTCTCCGCAGGATTTCTTGCGTACTGTGGGCCATTCAGTTACGAGTATAGGAACCGGATGTTGTACGACGATTGGTGGAACAGTATAGTACAAAAGGAAATTCCATTCACGGACACGTTCAGAATTCAGACGGAGCTGAGCAACGATGTTGAAATTAGCACGTAAGATATTTTCATTTTTTGCGTATTTTTCCAATAATAATAATAATAATAATAGTGTTTTCGTTGGATGATGTTAGAAGAAGAAAGAATTTAACATCTCTTTTTAACGTCAATTTTAGTAATTAAAAAGTGAATTCACAAACATTTTATTTATGTATGTTATTGCATTGATATACATCTATATTCCACATCTAATATTTTCATTATTTTCAAAACAATTACGTAAAGATTATTGAAAAGTGTAATTTGAATTGTACTGCAGACTCTAATTCACAAACTGATCAGTCCCGAAATCTTCTGTGCTCACGGGTCAAATCGAAATCGTTAATTTCACTCTTCCGTGTACTTGAAACGAATATCATTTAGATATTTTATATCTCGAAGTTTTTGAATTTTAAATATCTTTGAAGAATATTTACAGTTTGATCGAAAATTTTTCATCTAGTGAAAATCTAAGTACAATAAATTTCACATCATATTCATTTTATATTCGTAGTCCAAGCGTAAAGAAATTAATCTCAATTTTAAAACGCTGATCTGAAAACGAAAACGAGAAGCTGAAAGAGAATTTATTTAAGATGGACGTCCGAGGGTCTACCGCCAGACGAATTGTCGGTACAGAACGGTATTCTGACGACAAGGGCCTCCAGATTCCCGGTTTGCATCGATCCACAGCAACAAGCTCTGAACTGGATCAAAAGGCGAGAGCAGAGGAAGAATTTAAAGATCCTGTCGTTCGCTGATCCAGACTTCCTGAAGCAAGTGGAACTTGCAATAAAATATGGTCTCCCAGTTCTATTCCAGGACGTCGATGACATTGATCCTGTTCTAGATAACGTCCTATCGAAGAACGTACAAAGTATTTCACGTTGAATTTTCGCGTTCACAGCGAATGAAACCAGTGAGAATACGGGAGATGAAATTTAATTGCAGATGTGGGAGGTAGAATGTTCGTTCTACTTGGCGACAAGGAAGTGGATTACGACCCGAGATTCAAGATTTATCTCACCACAAAGATGTCGAATCCTATTTTCGACCCTGCTGTGTATGCTAAGGCTACTGTGATCAATTACATGGTGACATTAGGGGTGAGTTCTTTCTTAATTTTCTTGGTCAATTTGAAAAAGAATTTCTTGTTATTCTTTGACCAAATCCTACGCTCTATTCACGAATGGTATTTTGAATAGTACTTTATTATTAAATTATTCCAATCATTTTTCAAATTAAAGTGAAATAATAATTCCGAGAACAAAACCAAAAGAGTTTTGGAAGAAGAAGAAGAAAATATTTGAAAGCAAAGAATTGCGCATCCGAAAGAAATTCAAAAATAATAAACTTCGAGGTATATTGACGAATTGTATCGCTAAATAAACTTTTCTATCTTAAATCGAAGTACATCAATAATTTTCGTAGCTTGAAATCTCTGTTTTAAAAAGAAAGAGAGGAGGGAATTAAATATTCGAGAAGTAAAGAATCAAATATCTAAAAATAATAAATTCATATCCTAGACCTGCATTCACTTTCTAATTATGCTTTCTAAACAAATCTTTCTGCTTTGTTCAAGCTAGTTTCAGTTTTGAAAAAAACAAAAGCAAATATTCAACCATTGAAATGCTACACGCATTTTCATGAAAAATGAAAAATTCCAGGGTCTGGAGGACCAACTGCTATCGGTGGTCGTTCGAACGGAGAGGCCAGACATCGAGGAACAACGCGAGAGCCTAATCGCCGAGACCAGCGAGAACAAGAACCTCCTGCAGCAACTGGAGGACAGTTTGCTCCTCGAGATCGCGACGAACAAGGGCAACATGCTGGACAACATCGAGCTGATCGAAACTTTGGAGAGCACCAAGTCCAGTGCCGCGGAGGTGACGAGGAAACTGTATCTGGCCGAGGTTACAGCTGCTGACGTGAACAAACTTCGAGACGGTTATCGATCGGTGGCGAAAAGGGGAGCGATACTGTTCTTCGTTCTGGCAGACATGTCTATGGTGAACCCGATGTACCAATATTCCTTGATCAGCTACGTGGAAGTGTTCGTCTACTCGCTGAAGAAAGCGATCCCGGATCCAACGTTGAGTCGTCGCCTGCAGAATATCATTCCGATGCTGACGAAGAACGTGTACGATTACGGTTGCACCGGGATTTTCGAGAGGCATAAGTTGCTGTTCTCGTTTCAAATTTGCACGAAACTCGAGGAAAGCACGGGGAACGTGAGTCAACAGCAACTGGATTTCTTCGTCAAAGGGAGTGTCACGTTGGAGAAGGCGGCGAGAGTCAATCCCACGGAATGGTTATCGGCCACCGGATGGACGGACTTGTTGAAACTGAGCAGCGACTTTCCCGACGACTTTGGCAACATTGTCGATGAACTGACCTCGCACGTAGCTGAGTGGCAAGCTGTAGGTGAAAATTCGACTTCCACGTGTAGTTTTTACGTAATTCAGAGTTGAGGCTGAATCGTGTAGAACGACATTGCTCCCCGTCGATAATGGTAATAATGATTAGACTAGCAGATATTTATGCAAAAATACGTTTTATATTCATATTTGTCAATGCTAAGAAATCAAATGTTAGAACAGATATACTGTTGAAAGTATTCTCAGTGGTTGGAAAGTCAGTTGCATTTAAAAGTTAAATATTTAAATATTAAAGTGAAATTCTCACTTAGTGAAATTGTTGATAATTTACGGTTTTTATGCATTTTTATATTTTTATAACTAAAGGAATAGAATCTAAGTGGATCCATCTGTTAAATATTATAGTGAATACTCTACTTCGGATATTTTATATATTTTTGCATATTGTATACATCGTGTCTTTAAATTTAATTAAATGCATAAAAATCTGCAGTCTACCTGTGATATTAAAAAATTCAATATCTCTTCTTAGTAATATTTTCATATTGATCAATCTGAGTTATTGATATAAGTTTCGAAAAAGATCTGAACTTTGAACAATATGAATAAAAATTTCAAAATGTATGTAACGACTTGAAACGTTCCTTTTCAGTATATAAATTGATATTTAAAAAATTACTTATTGCAATCCAAATTATGTCATCATAAAGAAATTGTCAATTAAAATAAAATTGCTAAATATCCTTTGTATCAATTCAAAGATAATATTGAACAAAATTTATTGAACATTTTATTTCAAATCACACACGTTTTGCATATATTTCTTCTGCATATTCACAAGCATAAATTTCATATGTTCTTTGTATATTTTACATCCGCAATCTTATAAGCAATAATATTATTTCCTCACAAGATGACTAACGACATATTAAATCAAAATTTTTCAGTGGCACGACATGGATGCTCCAGAATCTGCAGACTTTCCTTTAGATTATTCCACCAAGTTGACACCGTTCGAGAAACTCATGTTAATACGCTGTTTACGCGTCGACCGAGTTTATCGAAGTGTCGTTAATTACATCACCGAGATTATGGGAGAAGAGTACATCACTCCCCCTCATGTTAGTTTCGAATTAATCTTTGAGCAAAGTACGCCTACGATGCCTGTTATTTTCATCCTAAGTCCTGGATCTGATCCATCGTCGGAATTAATGAAGCTAGCAGACAAGTACGGATGTGGGGGAGGAAAATTTAAGTATCTATCGCTTGGACAGGGCCAAGAGAAGGTAAGTCGCTATTTTTGATTATTTAATTGATTCTTCCAGAACCAATTTTTTTTTTTTTTTGGTCTTTTTCGCTTAATTAATTCTTTCAGAACTGATTTCTTTCTTTTGTTCTGAAAAATTTGTTTTTAGCAATTGAGATCTCGTGTAATTTTAAATTAATAATTCTATTTTATGCTGGTATCGCTATTTGAATATTTCGTTATATTATATTTCTAACGTGCTGCGAACTTATTTCCATTTACGGATTAAATATACATTTCAGATATTAAGCTAATATCGAAAGTCTGCTTAAAGATTAATAACAGAAATGTTACGTTCGAGATTTTCGTGAGGAGGATTTATAAAATTTCAGATCAAGTTGATACTTGATTGACAATTTGTAAACTATTGTCAGTACACACCTATCAATAAATTTACACGATGTTGAGGATAAAAGAATTAAAATAGAATACAAAATAGGATTGAAAATAGAATTAAAGAGATTAAAAAGATACGAAGAATAAGAGGAAGAAACAAGGTTCAATGAATTTAACTGCATTTGTTCATCAAATGAACTTTATATCTTCATTAGATATCTGAAAAAGGAATAATTAGTAAAATAATATATTATAATAATATATTGAAAAATTAAACGTTACGTGTTTTATTTCAATGGACATCTCGTTATGTTTAAGTTAATTTCTTCTTTATTTAATTGAAATTAAAATCAAATTAAATCAAATGAATTTTGAATATCATAACGATTATGATCGTAATAACAAGATATACTATAAAACATACCTCATTTTTTCTCTCTTATCCTTCGTACATGATCTACATTCATACGTATGAATATTTTTCAAATTTAACATTTTAGATTGCAATAGAGTTATTAGAGACTGCGGTGTCCAGAGGGCAATGGCTAATGTTTCAAAACTGTCATTTGCTATTAAGTTTCACCAGAGTTCTAGAGAAACTACTGGAGGATGTTGGGAAGCCTCACCCGGATTTCCGGTTGTGGCTCACTACCGATCCGACTCCCACATTTCCCATTGGAATATTACAACAGTCTTTGAAAGGTCATTTCAAAGTAAAAAAGGAACAATTCTTTGCTATTGGATATTTTCGAATTCCCTGCTGTTATGAAAGATGGATTCGCGAAATATTTAATTTTCGACTTTTTAGTAGTCACCGAGCCACCCAGTGGATTGAAATTAAATCTCAAAAGTACCTATCTGAAGATCAAGCCGCAGATGCTCGAAAGTTGCGCGCATCCTGCTTACAAACATTTAGTTTACGTATTAGCTTTCTATCACGCGGTCATTCAAGTGAGTGAAACTAGAATTAACCGAAGTAATGTTTAACTGCGAGTAAAAGCGAAGTCTCTCGCGAGAGTTATGGCCAAGAAGTGAGAGAGCAAATGATCTATTCAGCAAATGAGATATTCTTACCACACTCGAGACGGCTCCCAATAGACTTTCCAACTAGACGACCTGAAAAAATAAATTTTACACTTTTTCAATATTATTTCTCGAATATAGTTTTTATATTATTGATATCATTTACTTTTAATACTTTTAAAAATAATAATTGATAATGTTTTAAATCATTTCATTTTTATAAATGAATTTTTCACTGTTTTAATGTATATGATTGCAAATTCCCGTGTGTAATTATCATATTTTTTACGGCGAGTTTGTTGATTTTTACGACAATTTTACGAGATTCAATTTATTTTGCAATAAGTTTCATGACAGAGATTATATAGATTATAATTATATAATGCGATAATGATGTGATGCGTCATTTTAATACGGTGAAATGGCAAAATTTAAATGGAATATATACATTGAATATATTTATTAAATGTACTTTTTACAACAAATTTTATGCGATTCATCGGATAATAACGACTAACGAACTCCTCTGGAGATTTCGTTTTTGCTCACAATCATTCAAACGATGTTACGATCGTACATGCATGTATATGTAGATATAATCATGTTACGACAAATTGATTATTTGATTATTCTTTATAGGAGAGAAGGAGGTACGATAAAATTGGCTGGAATATAAATTACGATTTCAACGAGTCGGACTTCAATGTATGCATAACTATTTTGGACACTTATTTAACTAAGGCGCTCGTAGCAAAAAATCCTAGGCTCCCTTGGAACAGCTTGAAATATTTGATAGGAGAAGTATGTTTGACAATTCTATTCTTTTGTTCATAATGTTAGTAAGTAATGTATTATATTTCAGTACTAAACGAAATCTATTTTTAATAAAAATCTAAAGTTCTTATTCCAGTATTTTATTAATTTTTACTGCCATTTTTTTCTTAAACTCTCAAAATTAATTTTTTCTTTCTGAAATACGAAATTCGCAAAAAAAAAAGATCCTCTGATAGACGACACATTTTATCCAGAATAAAAAATTTCGGAATCGGATAAATACGATGAATTCCGATAATCTTGTAAGAAAAATTCTTCTACACACACTCTGTTAGAATGCAATATTTCGAAGACTAAATTCAAAAATTCAAACAGCCTACGAATTCAGATAATTATCAACGAGATGCCGTTCTAGAGATTTTAATAGATTTTCAAATAGATTTTTCAACTTGTAGATCTCCTATAAGCTAAGAAATTCTAAATTTCACGAAATAAATCTAGGTAATGTACGGTGGCCGGGTGATAGACAGCTACGATCGTCGAGTATCCGAAACCTACATGGATGAATACTTCGGAGATTTCCTTTTCGACAGCTTTCAACCCTACCACTTTTATCGCGACAAGGAAGTCGATTACGTGATACCACCGGAAGGGGAACTGGAAGATTATGGAAAGTTCATCGAGGGACTACCATTGGTGAACACTCCAGAGGTCTTTGGACTCCATCCAAATGCCGAAATTGGCCACTTCACACAGGCTGCGAAGGAAATGTGGAGCAATCTGATACAACTGCAACCGCAAACTGGTAATCACGTAACGAGGCTAAGTTTGATAATGGAGCTAATCAATTTGTCGTCCGAACGAGAACGAGCTTCGTCAATTTTTATCTTACGTGTATCTTTCTGGAAGAGCAAAAGAACACTCTAATATCGTTAATTTCTATCCGATAAATCTCAATATTTTTTATTTGTTTTCTGTATAATATTGTTATTGTTGATTCATTTTCTGGCTTCTAGTCTAATGAATTTTTCATATCGTCATATCACGGGGTATAATATCATTTTTTATATATAAAATTTTTATTAACTCGTCATGTCACGGGATAATTTATTAATTCCTTTTCTAACTTTTAATCTGATTAATCTTTTAATATTTGTATAATATTTTTTATTAATCATATTGTAGAATAAAGTAAAGTTATATGAGCTAGTAGTAGAATATTTGATAGGTCTAGTTAAATAGTTCATTCTAGCTATGAAGAATTTTTGAAAACAGACTATTGAACTCGTATAGTATAACAGACTATTGAACTCGTATAGTATAACAGTGTAATAATAAATTTTTGATTTTACTCTTCTAATATCCTCTTATAAAAATTTTTTTGTCTCTAGTATGCTTGGATAAGAAGAGTAAGTCTCTCTCTCTCTCTCTCCCTCTAAATAATTTTTATTCAAATTAATAGAAAAACTGTTTCGTTATCTAGAAGTCAATGGGAATGAAATAAACAAAGATGAATTTATCGACAACATCGCAAAGGACATACTCGATAAAGTTCCTGTCGAGTACGATCTCGTTAGAATCAGAAAACACTTTGGCCCAATGATAACTCCGACCACAATTGTTCTTTTCCAAGAATTGGAAAGGTTTAACAAGCTGATTAGGGCGATGAAAATTTCCTTAGTGAAATTGAGAAAGGTCTGTAGTTTTCTCTTCTCGCACAATTGAAAATTAATGCCTTTGATTAAATAATACTTTTAATTCTTAAGTCTACCATAGAAGGTTCATCTCGTGCGAAGAGGATTTTATTTTTCCAATGATAATAATTTAATTACAAAATAATAAATAATAATTTAATAACGTTTGTTTGATTCTGTTAATTTTTAAAATAAAAAAAAAAAAAAACAGCGTGTTAGAATGAAACATTGGTTTGATTTCCTTTGAATGAATTGATGATAATTTCTAAAGATTAATTATTTTTGTGATATTCTGACGATACTTTTATCATATTTAATATATTGCTAGGCTATCGTTGGTGAAATTGCAATGGACGCGACTCTCGAAAATATATCCGCAGCGTTATACAATGGCATATTACCACAAGAATGGGCCAGATTAGCGCCAGACACAAAGAAAACTCTGGGTGGATGGATAGAACATTTCGAGAAGAGAATACAACAGTACAATAGTTGGGTAAGACGTCAAAATTAAAGTAGAATTCATAGCTTACTGATTTACCAAAGAAATTTGCACTGACGAGCAAATATAAGTAGAATCATGTAAAAACTTGAAATTTCATTAGCACTGGAATGAACCATCACGATTATAAAATTTGAGATCAATCTGAAAATTTGTCTGCAGTTTATTGTAATCATATATTTAATGAAAAGTTAGTGCACAGCATGAATACTATATTTAAACATAGAATTAATTATATATATTAAAACTAATTTTATATATTAATAAATTTTATATATTAAAACTTATCAACGCTTAACTAGTGGAAAATCCGTATGAATTTAGAGTTCGATTAGTTCGTTTTAGAATTTTTAATTTAATTGAATTTCATTATCAATTTCATACAATATAGGATCAAATACCCTAAACTTTGGTAATCTAATAAAAATTATTATAATTAGACATACAATGACAACGATACTACTTATTGAATAATCGTTCAAATATTTTTATGATTCATACGAAATATACGTTTGCAATAAATATCTTGTAACTTTTATACATTTACCTACATTTATGGAAAATTTAAAAATATACAAATAAAAAGTCCATGTTCTATTTCTTTTGTGTTTATAAAAGTATAAATTCGCATCTATACCATGTGAAAGTTAAACGAAGATTATTTCTAAAATTCATAGTCCACAACGAGCGAACCTATAGTTCTCTGGTTAGCCGGAATGCACATCCCAGAAACCTATTTAGCGGCCCTCGTGCAAATGGCTTGTCGAAGAAACAGTTGGTCTTTGGATCGTTCTGTCATGTACACAGCAGTATCGAGACATACCAGACCAGAGCATGTAGAGGAAAGACCCGACGAGGTGATCAATTCAGTATTCCTCACTATTTCCACTTCATTTCCAAAATTCTCAAAATCAGAATTATTTTCATTTAATTCATTTTTATTCGTATTTGTTGTCCAATAAATTTGTGACATAATGAATAAAACAAAAGTATTACGTAACTGAAAGCTTCCCAATAATTTGAAAAATAAATAAATAACTTGGAAGATTCGATAAAAAATAGTAGAACGCAGAATTCCTCCTGTTCGACAATTATAATATGATTAAGATAACTAATAACAAGTAAATGTAAATACAGGGTTGTTACGTAAGTGGATTATATTTGGAAGGAGCTAGATGGGACTTGGAAGAGCAATGTCTCAAGAAATCACATCCAAAAATCCTGATAGAGGAATTACCAATTCTCATTATCGTTCCAGTGGAAGCTCATAGACTCAGACTTCAGGTGATCAATTAAATGAATTAAAATTGATTGAAATTGTTCAAATAATTAATGTATATATACATACGTGAATTGCAGAACACTTTTAGAACACCAGTGTATACTACTTCAAATCGAAGAAACGCTATGGGGGTAGGTTTGGTTTTCGAGGCGAACCTTGCTACAGAAGAACATATTTCTCACTGGGTATTGCAAGGAGTTTGTTTAGTATTAAACACTGATTAAATGTTATTTAATTAATAATAAGATAACAGTAATGGTAATTATTTTAAAGGAAGAAATATACAAAGACATTTCATGTATAGTACATTAAGTATATTAAAAAAAGTGTTTTCAAAAGTATATCTATATCGTATTATACAGAATGACTGGTGTAACTTGCACAACTGAAGTAACTTTTAAATTATGTTAAAGTGTCTAATGAAAAATTGTTTAATGCAAAAATTGCATAGTTTTAAGGGAGGCAAAATATGATGTATCAATTTTTTCATTCTTTTTTATCATAAATCCAAAGAATATTAAATTCCAAGTAAAAAAATATTAAACCATATTGAACCTAAATCTAATGGTTAAAGAGATATTTTACGGTAATTTGTCTTGTAGATATTAAAATATTTAAAATTCGAAATCATTTCATTAACATTGGAAATGAAATTGAGTAGAGTAGAAAATCTACATTACATCAAAAAATATTTATCAGAATATATACTATTTGTAGAATATTTATAGTACTTATATTATACATATTAATTTTCATTCAAATTCTACATGATATAATTAGGCATAATTCTATAATATTATTACAGATATATTTGTAGCAATCGTGGAAGTATTAAACCTGAAAATATATTCTTGAAAATTCTTTTTACAAGTCTCTGAGTTTAACTAACAAGAACAAAGTACACGATGAATAATCATAGAAAACACAGATATATTTACATAATATATACAGTGTGTTATTTATTGTTTCCACTCATAAACTTGATCTGAGGCAAACAGAGATTGTAAAAGGAACTGTCGATGAAATCATCCAGACATTGCCATTTCACCCAGCGATGATTCTCCAATTGCTTGGTTCCATATGCTTTGCCAACAAAATGCGGATCCACGATTAACAAATAGGTGTTCCTCGGGCCCTCGTGGATTCCTACGACGCACTTGCTCGAGCAATCCTTATCGCCGCCCATCATAACCGGGCTACCGAATTCCTCGAAGTGGCCTCTGATAATTGAAACTTGATCCCGCAGTCCTTTGCCATTTCGGACGTGCACGATTTTACTGAGAACCTCGTACAAATGATTCAACACGAGGCATACCTTCAACACGAGATACTGGAAATCAGTTTGTTTACTTCTATAATATTTGGCAGGAGGATATCTACTCCTTATCCAAATATACCATTATCGCCAATGTTTGACATTCTTCGTGACTAAGCATCGTCGTTCTAATTGAAGTGTTAAACTAATTAACAATGGTTTGCAATGTTGCACAGTGCAGAAATCGTTGTGCGAACAAAATGGAGGCGATGCTTCTGGTGCAAGCAACAATATTTTTATCACGTTTTTTCCCCATAAATAAAAAGTAAGTTCAGTTCATTCAATTGATGTAAAATTCTTTTCTTTTTAAATGAAAATTCAAATTACTTTTGCATTTCGAATTAACGTTCGGCTCAAGATTTCTGATACGTGAAAGTGAAAATGTAAAAAGTAACTCTTCTAGTAAATATTTCAACTCTTTTGAAATTTGCTTACTTCGAAGCTGCCTATCCAGTCCCTCGACCCGATAAACGACTGTTCCTTATCATCCAACGTGACCAGCACTTCTTGTATATGTCTGATATTTGGAACGGATTGGTTCAAATTCCGGTTTCTTACAACCCACGAGCATATAGTCTGCAACGTTCTGTATCCACAACCCCAGCCCTGAATTCAACATTTTACCATGTTTCTCTCTGCAACGTATCGTATCTTCAAAACGAGCAGTTACAAACCTTGTCGTTAAAACCGTCGCAACCGTAGTGCCAATACTCGTAATCACCTCGGACCAAGAAACTTTGACCGCCTTCCGGTGCAGGGATATCGCGATGAACGTTTCTCAACAGATCGCTCGAGTAATCGACGGTCATCTCTCTCGGTGTTATCGCGTAAAGATCATCGGATGATAATGTGGATGCAACGATAGATGTTTCGTTCCGTCCGACGAGCCATGTAATGAGCCACTCTACTTTCACGTATGTCTGTCGTAACCGCTTCGAAAAATCCTCAAACAGACCGTGCTGTCCGTACGCGATACGAAATAGAGCGCGAAGTTTCGTATTTCCCGGTTTAACGGTGATTCGCGGCCATTCCATGTATTTTCTCTCCGTCACCTAACCTATCCAACTGCGTAACTCGCACACACACCGTCGTCCTCGCGCTTCGTAATACA